CTCTCAGGAGGCTGAAAAGATTTGACATGGGCCCTCAGATCCTCTAAATGTTCTACAGCTGCACCATTGAGAGCATCCTGACTGGCGGCATCACCGCTTGGTATGGCAATTGATTGGCATCCGACCACAAGGCGCTACAAAGGGTAGTGCGTACGGCCCAGTACATCACTGGCGCCGAGCTCCCTGCCATCCAGGACCTCTATACCAGGCGGTGTCAGAGGAAGGCCCTAAAAATAGACTGTTCGCTCTGCTACCGCACGGCAAGCAATACCGATGCACCAGGTCTGGAACCAACAGGACCCTTAACAGCTTCTACCACCAAGCCATGACTGCTAAATAGTCAGATAAATAGTTAACCAGTAGCTACCCGGACTCTCTGCATTGACCCTTTTTCACTAACTTTTTGAGCGTATGTGACGCTGCTGCTACTGTTTATTATCTATCCTGTTGCCTAATCACTTTATTCTTATTAATATGTACATATCTCCCTGAATTACCTCGTACCCCTGCACATTGACTCAGTACTGGTACCTTGTGTATATAGCCATGTTATTACCTCGTATCAATGCACATTGACTCAGTACTTGTACTGGGGCCAAGCTTCCTGCCATCCAGGACCTCTATACCAGGCGGTGTCAGAGGAAGACCCTCAAAATGGTCAAAGACTCCAGCCACCCTAGTCATAGACTGTTCTCTCTGCTACCGCATGGCAAGCGGTACCGGAGCGCCAAGTCTAGGTCCAAAAGTCTTCTCAACAGCTTCTACCCCCAAGCCATAAGACTCCTGAACAGCTAATCATGGCTACCCGGACTATTTGCACTGCCCCCCCCACCCCATCTTTTTACGCTGCTGCTACTCTGTTAATTATTTATGCATAGTCACTTTAACTCTACCCACTTGTACATATTACCTCAACTACCTCAACTAGCCGGTGCCCCCGCACATTGACTCTGCACCGGTACCCCCCTATAATATATAATTATTATATTATATTATATTATTATCATTATTATTATATAGCCTCCCTACTGTTATTTTATTTTACTTCTGCTCTTTTTTTCTCAACACTTTTTTGTTGTTGTTGTTTTATTTTACTTTTTTATTAAGATATAAATGCATTGTTGGTTAAGGGCTGTAAGTAAGCATTTCACGGTAAAGTCTACACCTGTTGTATTCGGCGCATGTGGCAAATAAAATTTGATTTGATTTGATTTGATTTGTACCCCCTGTATAAAGCCAAGTTATCGTTACTCATTGTGTATTCATTATTACTTTTCTATTATTTCTCTATTTTCTCTCTCGCTGCATTGTTGGGAAGGGCCTGTAATTAAGCATTTAATTGTTAGTGTACATCTGTTCTTTATTAAGCATGTGACGAATAAACTTGTATTTGATTTAATAATCTACTGTGGTGGACGTGAATGGATACCAGCACAGATGACTGATATTTTGGCTCAAAATGGGTCCGTTTCACCCACCATATATCAGAGATCACAGTCCAATATCTCACCCACCATATATCAGAGATCACAGTCCAACATCTCAGTTAATCACATTTTCTTTTAGGAGCCTTCATCACTTGAGAGCTCTTCGCATGAAACGCAGGAGAACTGAATGGGGAAGAATATTGGCGCAGCACACTGAATGGGGAAGAATATTGGCGTAGCACATACTGTTGGCTCACTGTGGATCTATCTCCCAGATGTGTATGGGCCAGGTCAGGGCAGATTCCACACACACACACACACACACACACACACACACACATAGGCCCTCCCCTGCTTGACAGCAGCTTGGCAACAGTAATGATTTATAGAGTGAATCACAGAGCAACTGATTATGTGAAAACAGTCACAGAGAGAAAGACAACACTGATTCTAACTAGGTGGACTTCACTTCTCCGGGCACAGCTTAGATATGCACGGCACATTCTTCTGGACTTTATTTGTCAGCGATTTGTAATTTGACAAGGCCATGGTATCTTAAAGCTTGTCTGTTTATCGCAAGGTCCTTAAGAAGACCGAACTCTAGTAGACAACCATAAAGAAGAAACAAAGCCATTTTGGGAGCAGTGTTTCCACGTGTTCTCTAGTTCTCTATGACTAGTTCTAGTGTTCTACACTAGTACTTGTAGTTCTAGTGTTCTACTGTTCTCTAGGACAGAGGGTTCTTTGGATGTGTGCGTACCCATCCCTTATAAACATTAACAGAAAGATGATGCCTCACTGAGCCATTGATCAGTTGTGGAGGAGCTGAGCTGAGTCATGAATGATGTGATTACCAGGTAGAAGAGATGATCGGGATAGGGTTATCAGTATGGTGATCTGGACTAACAGGCCAATACAAAGGCCCTTCCCAACGGAGACATGATAGGGTATTGTAATTCACACATTTACACCAAGGTGAATATTGGTCTTATTCTCAATGAGTGACTGATTGAGAATTATCCATTTGTGATTGCAATGATCAATTTATCTCTCAAACTCTCTTAATCAATGTTGTATTTCGGGATCAGAGTGATGACTTGACATGACTGATTGATTGCGTAATGGTTGTTTGATTGTACACTGATGAATTGCACCAATGGAGGCGTGAACTGAAAGGAAACATCCAAAGAGATGTGCAAGTGTCTAAAAAGTGAGCATATCCATGAATCGACAAGATGATATCACTAATTGTTACTTTCACTGGGATTTAAAAAAAAATACATCTACATTTCATTCTGTGTGTGTCTTCATGCCTAATCTATCATATATATAATGTATTATTCCAAATAGGCACATTTAAATAGTTATATTTGTTATTTTATGTCATGTTATTTTTATTTGTCACTTCAGATGTTTGCTGCTGTAGATTCATAGTTTGTTTTGTTTAGGGGGTTAATTATAGGGGGTAATTTTAAAATGAATGTGAAAATAGTTTTAAATGATTGATTAATCCCCCCCCAAAAATGAATGATTTAATAGAACTATCAGTAGTGCTTGATAAGCGCCCTCTACCGACGGTAGCCTACCGGTGAGTGTAATCTTTCATGGAGCCAAATGATGTGGTGAGAGGTTAAGTGACGGTGAGATCTGTAGTCAAAGTGCTATTCTAGCTTCTTATCACATACGATCGCTTCACATAACCTGATAATAACCTATTTTCAATCATTAATGACAGGGGTCCAAAGTGCACTGAGTGTTCTGAATGAATCCTATAAGGAATGCTGTGGTCTGTGGAATGCAGAGTGGTATCCAGTGAACCATAGCCTAATCCTAAATGCAGATTCAAAGAAAATGTGGAAAAATAAAAAAACGCATAAATTAAGGTAGTATTAAAACCTTTTGTGTAAAACACATCAAACCAAGACGAAATGTTCATATGAGACGATGCTCTTTTATTATATTTCATAATTTTTGACATTTATAATATAGGTTCATTTTACAATTTAAAAGTTGTTCTATTTGTATAACATTGGCAATTGGAGTTTGTAAAAAAACAAAAGTGCTTCCTTTTCCTTGATGTATAGTCTCTATATCTTAGCATTTGTTTATAGAATCCAATAAGAGTCTAGAACATTCTAGAACATGTATAGAATCCAATAAGAGTCTAGAACATTCTAGAACATGTATAGAATCCAATAAGAGTCTAGAACATTCTAGAACATGTATAAAATCCAATAAGTCTCAGCCAGTGGTAAAGTCCAAAGTCTTACTTCAGAGAGAGAAGTCAAAAGGCACTGCATTATGGCGTCGGCTTGTAGGAAGGGTGCTCAGGAAAGAGAACAGTGACAGTTGAGTTGACACTGTGGAGAAGCGAGCTTCGAACAGTATTTCACAGCAAAAGCAGTGAGAAAGCAGGACAAAAGGTGATCTTCTTCATGTGAACTCATCATACAGAAGATGAGGGCAACAAACATTGCATAGTTATACACTCTTAGAAAAGAAGGTGCTATCTAGAACCCTTGTTGGTTCCAGGTAGAACCCTTTTGGATCCAAGTATAACCGTTTTGGGTTCCATGTAGAACTCTTTCCACAGAGGGTTCTACCTGGAACCAAAAAGGGTTCTACCTGGAACCAAAAAGGGTTCTCCTATGGAGTCAGCCGAATAACCCTTTTTGGAACCCCTTTTTTCTAAGAGTGAAGAGGAACCCTTTTCACATTTTCTATCAATTATACATAAATACAAAGCTATACCTTTAGTTTATAAAGCGTTTTATTTACACCGAGAGGCGTGTTTAGATTAGTACCCAAAACCTATGGAAGAAATACAATGTGCTTCATATGGTTGTATTTTGAAGACCTTTATAGTGCACACAACGAACTGCTCTCGTGAAGAACTGGGTACCACACAGCATAACAAGATTCCAGTCGTTTGCTGTGGTGTTTAATTCAGTCCATAGATGTCCCCCCCCCCCCCCCCCACACAATGTGTGAATGCTGCCACAGCAGACAGCAGCAGGCTATACGTTGTAGCTCTGTACCTTATATGGGCTTTCAGTCTGAACAACAATAAATGGAAAGATATTCTGATCACTGCTCAGATTTTTTTGCATTGCAAAAAAAATACTTATTTGGAAAGCTGTGTGCACTTTGCAGTTTAAAAAATATACTGTAGCTCTATAAGTACATGCGCAAATGTTTAGTTTAGTAAAGACAGGAACAAGATATTGAGATGGTAACGTTAAAACATGAACAACGAGCAGGCTAGTGATTATGGTGAAAATCATGCCCTATACCTTTAGCTGCACTGATAAGTTGTTTTTGCGTGGCTAAACACACAATGTTATATAATAAAGGCACCAAAAAAACCACAGGTCCACTGTTCAAACGTGGAGAAATGAGCTTATTGTTTTGTACAGAAGGCATGTATACCTCAGCTGCCCTGTCTCTCCTTAAGAAACAAACTGTTGCGGTCAGAATCTGTCAGATGAATTTATAGCGTGTATGCTATTTATCCAGCAGACATGCACAAGTAAGTGTTTAAAAGTCCAATGTAAAAGCTACTATAGTCCGTGTTCACTGGCAGTTGGCCATGGGTTTGAAAGATCCATCGGGAAGTTGTCTGAAGATGCCCCTTAATGTGTCCAGTTCTCGGGTAAGATGTTCCACTCTCTTCCGCAGTCTGTCGTTGTCCGACGCCAGCTCGATCACTTTCTGCTGCGTCTCCACGTTGCGCATTTTCGCCTTGTCTCTACTCTTCCTCACCGCGACGTTGTTCCTCTCCCGCCTCAACCGGTACTCCGTGCTGGCCTTGTCGACGCGCTTTTTGGATTTACCCCGGTCCCGGTCGCGGTCGTCGCGTCCCATCATCTTCATGGATCCAACGGAGGACATGCTGCCGTCCCTGTGGTGTGGGCTCGGGACGGGAGTCGGTGGAGGCGTCGGGTGTCCGGGTTGGAGATGCATGGTCGTCTGCGCGCAGTGCGCAATCTGGTACTGGAGATGGGATAGGTGCTGTGGGAGATGCTGTTGGGAATGGTGGTAGGTGGGGTGCATAGAATGGCTCATTTCATCTTCTTCTCTGGGCTCTTGCTTTATCGCCACAGGTCTGATTCTCGCGGACTGGTTGTCGTAAATGGGTTCAAGTTTAGATGTGTCCATATACCCGGGCATACAACCATACCCCTGCTGCTGCTGCAGCTGTTGGTGGTGCGCTCCCGGGCCAGAGCTCACCCCGTGCGGGTACGATTCGTACTCACTGTTCGCCAGCTTGTGCTTCTCTTGCTTCGAGCTGTTGTGGAATAGATCGGCCAGGAACTCGTCGTTGAAGGCTGCAGGGTCGATGTAGGCGCTGATGTCGATGGAGTTTTCGTTCTCACAGATCTCGCCGAGGTCTTCTCCTGCTCCGACGCCGGATCCAGCGGCGGACGGGTCTTTGTAGCAGTAGGCGCTTTGCTGACTCTGAATGTGGGCTAGGCTGGTCATCGGGGGTCGTGGGGCGACCTCGTAGAGGTTCGGCTGCTCCATGGAGTATCTAAAACCCGCCAGACATGGTGAGGAGCTGCGGGAATCCAGCTTTGCTCACAGTACCGGAGGAAGCCGCAGTGGCCAGACGAATAAACAGGACAGCTCCTTCACAACGCGCGCTCTCCGGGTGTGAAGTAAATCGCTCTCAAACTAGGCCACGAGAAGCTGCAGTCTAATGTCTTGAATAAAGCCTAGTGACTCTCCCTGACAGGACTGGTTTCTCGAGACTTATAGTTCAAAGTACACGGTTTTAGCTGCAGGCTGAACTACTCCACGCTGGCTGAACCTCACAACTGTCAAACTACTCTCCTCTCTCCTATATATACAGTGGGAAGGAGGGGGCGGACGCGCAGCATGCAGGGTCCTATTGCGCGCCTTTACGCTGCAGTAGGTTATAGCAGGCCAGACTGGAAATCCAAGGCAAAAAAATCACTTTAGACTTGGAGAATATGTATTGAATTTAATAAATGGGGTCACGTGAAAAAAATGCATTTGAAATATTTAATAATATATAATTGCAAACATATTTGATTTGACATTATGTACATATTTTAACCTGTATAACTAATTGATTTATTTTCTACTATATAATCTCATCCAAACATTTTCTCCCTTTGCATTGGAACAACACATGTCACAGCAGCGCCAATGCACGTGCATCATTAGAATTTTGCATCCCGATTATATGTCTATAAGACAAGTCATTTTTTTTTTATCTTTGATTATTGAGTCCCAACCATTTTTGCATATTTTAGATGATATATTATTTGGTTATCAAACTGCTGTTCCATCGACGTTTCTACTAACGGTAAAAACAGATATAAGTGACTTAATAATATGTCGACTATTTAAACATAAGCTATTTAATAATGTATTAATAAAAATATATGTGTTATTTTACCTACGTATTCTCTTTCTCTTTCATATGTATCAGTCGATGGAGGTGGAGGACAAACGTCAGTTTCACTACAGATTTGGTAGAAACACAATAAATAAATAAATATTGGGCAAATAAATAGGTAGGCATAATAGTCTAACTAAATTGGCCAATAAGCAAATATATGTGCATGTGCCACTCTTCTATCAATTCACAACATTTAAATCAATACTTCAATTGGATTCTATGTGCCATTAAAAAGTGCGTGGATGCACCGATGACAATCATGCATGATAATGAATGGAGCAGTAATCTCTCTCTCAGCTGTAACTGACTAGATACCTGAGTGATACTGATAGTGTCGCCGGCACCGCAAGGCAGTTTGCGACTGGCTGCTTCCTCTGCCGGAAGAGCAGGCCCGGGTACCTGTTGCGCTCGTCACCCTGCGTCGTGAGTTTACTATCTAGGGCAGGGTTCTTCCATTCCGGTCCTGGAGGGCCGAAACACCTCTGTTTTTCATCCTCTCCTTCTAATCAGGGGCTAATTCAGACCTGGGACACCAGGTGAGTGCAATTAACTACCAGGTAGAAATAAAAAACAGAAGCGTTTCGGCCCTCCAGGACCGAAATTGAAGAACCCTGATCTAGGGGCTCGCCTCGCTCCAGAACGGAAAAATACCCGATAAAACGTGAGAGATAGATAGCCTGATTAACTGATGCATGCCAGTCTTTATTCAGATGAATAACATTCCAAAAGTAAAGAGACACTGATGGCTTGAGTCCAGTGGAGGCTGCTGAGGGGAGGACGGCTCATAATAATGGCTGGAATGGAGTAAATGGAATGGCATCAAACACATGGTAACCATTCCACTAATTCAGCTCCAGCCATTACCACGAGCAGTCCTCCCCAATTAAGGTGTCAGCAACCCCCTGTGCTTGAGTCAGATCTGATCCTCTTCAAAATGTAAAAAAATAAAGGGTAATAGTTAGGCTACAATACTTTGGTGTTTTCCACGTTCTTATTTTTTGGATTAAAGGGTTTATGTGCGTAAATTCATTTTAATAATAAACTTCTTCTTGCAGACTCAATCCAATGTAATGTTATGCGGACTATTCTACCAAAAGAACCAGTGTAATGATGTGTCACGGTTGTTGTGTGAGTGTGCGTATTAGGCAGGGCACAGGACGAACCACGCAGGCACCAGCCAGACTGATGTCAACGGGCTGGGAGCTCCCTCTGTCGTTGCATCAGGGGAAACCCCTCCGCTGAGCTCAGATGGAGAGCTCGTCCAGGGCGTTACGTGCAGCTTGGTGAAGGATCAGCGACAGCCAAGCCGCACGTAACACCCTGGACCAAAGCTAGGTATTTCTCGCCGTCGCATATAACGAATCGAAGGCAACAGTTTCAATACATCAACCTCTAACCTGTTTGGAATGTATTGGCTTAGTATTCTATACCTTCTACACATTAAAAGGTTTTCAAAATAACCTACATCTACAGCGCATTCGGAAAGTATTCAGACCCCTTGACTTTTTCCACATTTTGTTACATTACAGCCTTATTCTAAAATTGATTAAATTAAAAAATGTCCCCTCATCAATCTACACACAATACCCTATAATTACAAAGCGAAAACAGGTTTTTAGAAATGTTTGCAAATTTATTAAACATAAAAAAACAGAAACACCTTATTTACATAAGTATTCAGACCGGGGAGAACCTTCCAGAAGGACAACCATCTCTGCAGCACTACACCAATCAGGCCTTTATGGTAGAGTGGCCAGACAGAAGCCACTCCTCAGTAAAAGGCACATGACTGCCCACTTGGAGTTTGCCAAAAGGCACCTAAAGGACTCTCAGACCATGAGAAACAAGATTCTCTGGTCTGATTAAACCAAGATTTAACTCTTTGGCCTGAATGCCAAGCATCACGTCGGGAGGAAACCTGGCACCATCCCTATGGTGAAGCATGGTGGTGGCAGCATCATGCTGTGGGGATGTTTTTCAGCGGCAGGGACTGGGAGACTAGTCAGGATCGAGGGAAAGATGAACGGAGCAATGTAAAGAGAGATCCTTGATGAAAACCTGCTCCAGAGCGCTCTGGATCTCAGACTGGGGCAAAGGTTCACCTTCCAACAGGACAACGACCCTAAGCACACAGCCAAGACAACGCAGGAGTCGCTTCGGGACAAGTCTCTGAATGTCCTTGAGTGGCCCAACCAGAGCCCGGACTTGAACCCGATCGAATATCTCTGGACAGACCTGAAAGTAGCTGTGCAGCGATCCTCCCCATCCAACCTGACAGAGCTTGAGAGGATCTGCAGAGAAGAATGGGAGAAACTCCCCAAATACAGGTGTGCCAAGCTTGTAGTGTCATACCCAAGAAGACTCGAGGCTGTAATCGCTGCCAAAGGTGCTTCAACACCTGTCTGAATACTTATGTAAACGTGATTTTTCCGTTCTTTATTTTTAATACATTTGCAAAATTTTCTAAAAACTTGGTTTTGCTTTGTAATTATGGGGTATTGTGTGTAGATTGATGAGGGGACAAAATGATTTAATCAATTTTAGAATAAGGCTGTAACGTAACAAAATGTGGAAAAAGTCAAGGGCTCTGAATACTTTTCCGAATGCACTGGTGAAAAACTGAAATTAGGATGCAAAAAGAGCCAATATAGGCTGATTGAAGGCCAGGCACAGCAAGTGATGCCAGCACACTGTTCTCAGTGCACTGGCCCATTATCAGATCTATGTAGATGTTATGCACATCTAAATCTACATCTCAAATGGAAGACACAAGTCATCCTCCAAGCAGGAATATGGAGGAAAGACCTCCCAATTGACACTGGCAGGCTGCAGGCAGGTTCTCTACACTGCTGTTGGAATAGACAATATGAACCATATCCCCATATCTATTTAGGGTTTGTCTGAATATCCGTGCATCAATGATTCATTTAATTATCTTGCCTGAGAGCTAAAGACTTGTCCTCCATTCCTTAAACATGATTTACAAGCTTAGGGAGGGAGGGAGCACAGAGAAAGGGTAATATTGGCCGGGTAGATCTCCTTGACAGGGCTCACCGTAAAGAGATACAGGACTGAGAGGTGAACCACCGCAATTAATGTTTGCTTAGCATTTTAGTCATTTAGCAGACACTCTTATCCAGAGCAACTTACAGGAGCAATTAGGGTTAAGTGCCTTGCTCAAGGGCACATCGACAGATTTTTCACCTAGTCGGCTCAGGGATTAGAACCAGCGACCTTTCAGTTACTGGCACAACGCTCTTAACCACTAAGCCACCTGCCGCCCCAAAGCTTTGCGTTGAGGTTGTAAGGCAGAGTAGCGTACCATTGTCCCTCGCCCTGAGCGGTGGCTCCACCCTGTTCTCTCCCTGGGTGTTTGCACAGGCCTTTAAATAAGCTGTGTTCATTAGCTCAGCCTTCAGAGCAGAGCCGACAGAAATATAACTTGGCTCTGTGCTCACCTTGTGACAGAATGACGACCTAGCTAATCAAAGGCCTCACTGAACAAAGCTGGCTAGCTACGCTCAGAGCTGTTTACTGAGCTCTGGTTGGAACAGGGAGTCAGAAAGTGAGTTGGATGAATCCCAAATGGCAGCCTTTTCCCATATATAGTGCACTACTTTTGACCAATGCCCATAGGGAGACCCATAGGGGCTCTGGTCAAAAGTAGTGCACTACATAGGGAATAGGGTGCCATTTGTGTGCGTGATGAGTCCAGTTGAACACCTTGTTCTGTATTAGGGGTAGTACATGGTCATATCGGTCATCCATTTCCTGCTTCGTTATTGTTTGGAATCAGACAGTCCATTAAATGGTTAATCCAGATAGACTAGAACCCGAGCTACTGAACCACTAGTGCTGTTTGAAGGGGACATGTAGCTCAGTCCTTTATATGTAGATCTGTAGAATGACCATCCTTAATCACTCAGACTGACTATCCACATTGAAATCAACCTCTATTCCAGGGTTCCCCAACTGGAGGCCCAAGGGGGGAATTTGATTTGGCCCCTCAAGTTCTCTGAGCGAAACCAAATAGTGCATTTTTTTTGTTGTTGGGACATAAAATACTACAAACACCAGCAAATCAGCTCCAATTGATTTTAATGTTTGGATATTAGTTCCAAAGTATTCCCACACCATAATAGAGAGGTCTGTAGCTCAGCTGGTAGAGCACGGCGCTTGGTCCTCTGTAGCTCAGCTGGTAGAGCACGGCGCTTGGTCCTCTGTAGCTCAGCTGGTAGAGCACGGTGCTTGTTAACGCCAGGGTAGTGGGTTTGATCCCCAGGACCACCCATACGTAAAAATGTATGCGCACATGACTGTAAGTCGCTTTTGGATAAAAGCGTCTGCTAAAATGGCATATTATTGTTATATGCGATCGCATACAAATGTCAGCAAGGTTTGAAATTATGTTTTAGCCAAATATTATAATTTGTTTGGGCTTCTTGCGGTCAATTTGAAGCCTACAAATTATTAGTGATTATGTCCTGGCCCTGACCATCCGCTCAGGAAGGAATTGGCCCACGGCTGAACCTAGGTGATGATCCCTGCTCTATTCTATCCTTCTTGAATAAATATGGTACATTAAATTGAGATGCAGCCTAGTGTATGTGTTTACAATTCCCATCAAACATTGATTACACACACACACACACACACAAAAACAAAATGCTTGGTTGAAAGTTTGTACTCAATTTTAATTTACAAATGCACGTTACCCCAATATAATCGTATATAATAAAAAAAAGCTAGTCTAGCTAAAAGAGAAAATGCTGCCCAGCAACATTCATACCAAAACAAATATTCATGGCAATATTGTCATCAAATTTGTCAATTTTTTTTTAACATAAAATATTTTTCTTATTGAATTCTGCCATTATTTTCAATTTAGTGTGATCTTCCGTTCAACAATACAGCAACACTGCACAGCATGTTGAAGAGAATGGTTTCAATACGCCCGTATTCGCTATTGTTTCTCTTACGTCATAGTGCAAAATAACATCTTTGAACGGTGCTCCCCCATGCAAAACATTTCTATCATGCTGCTTTTTAAATCCAAGTCGTAGAAAAATTAAGAATACAAAAACAAAACGATTGAAAAGATGCTTCAGAGGTCTTGTTGATAAAGAAAAGGCCTGTTTGGTGACTAATACTGCTAGCCTGAGGTACAGAAGTCTACGGCAGCGCTCCGAATGGCACCCTACATTTTATACACCTTTATTTAACCAGGTAAGCCAGTTGAGAACAAGTTCTCATTTACAACTGCAACCTGGCCAAGATAAAGCAAAGCAGTGTGATTAAAAAACAACAACACAGGCTCTTTTTGACCAGGCTCTGATCAAAAAGTACTGCACTATATAGGGAACAGGGTGCCATTTGGGACTCACTCTATATCAGACATTGGAACAGACAACGTTGACTCCTCTGGCCAAACACATCATCTTCATCACAACATCAGAATCCGCTGTTGTTTCAGAGAAGACAATCCTATGGGAAGACAATTCCCCATGAAGCTGGATAATTACTCAGGTCTGTCAACAGCAACAAACACAATCAGTGTCTTTCCATACATTCCGATACCCGCTGACTGAGTCTGCCAGCTCCGGAGACGGGAGACAACATGCCTCGCTCTGCTCAAGCTAGGCTAATTAGGAGTTCATTTAGCATCCAACGCCCAGACAGACAGAACAACAGGCATTCCATCTTTCTGTCCAGGTTTTAGGGTTGGTTTTGGAGAAAGGCTCAACTTTGATTTAGCGGTGGTCGGGTGACGCCATGTGAAAAGTCTGGAGTTTAATCACATTGAGGTGCACGATAGTCTGAGCTGTCTAGTCTGGGCCACTCCTTAGCGTGAGCACACCTCTGCCCGCCTGCGTCCCCAAATGGCACCCTATTTCTTATATTAGTGCACTACTTTTTGACCAGGGGCCATAGGGTTCTAGTGCACTGTATAGGGAGCCATTTGGGACCCTGTATGGGTCTCTGACTGACGGGCTGGTGTGAGGCCTGTAGGACTGTGGAACTATGGGTAAATAAATACAGTGACTGACTGTATCTCACTCAGGCCTGAAACTTAACTTGAGATCATGCAAAGCAAAGTTAAGCATTCTGATCTTAAGTTATCCTACCTCCTTGTATTTGACTCTTGAGATTTATAGTCTCTTTTTCTACCCAAAAGAGCTCAAAGCAGAAGTAAAGCCATTCGATTAGGACACAAACAAAAAAAACATTTTTTACAACGTGTGCATATCTGACGCCGACAGACGCATACAGAATAGAACAGGCGTACATCATTCTGATTAACTTTTTAAAATGTAGTGAATGTACTGACGATCCTAAATTCCACCCGAATGTTAGCTATGTCACCAAACATTTAAGGAATTTTAACAAGAGCACATCAAAGAAAAAAAGCTACTAGACTTTTTACACATCATCTTAACTACTGAATAGATTATTTTTGTGACTAAACACAACAGGTCTCTTTAGAAAATGTTCCCAGACCTGAACCTCTAAAAAGCTCATGAGAACCAATCTGAACGCACACAAAAAAAAAAGACAACAGTGAAATCTCTCTGACAGTTTATATCATCTCCGGGGCGGAAAGAGGAAGATACTCCAGCACAGTTGAGAAGCAGTGGCGAGCTATCGATCAATCATCACCCTGGTTGTGTCCCAAATGTCACCCTAGTCCCCATAGGGGCCCTGGTCAAAAGTAGTGCACTATATAGGGGATAGGGTGTTGTTTTTGGGACGCTAATCTACCAGGAGGTATCATATCCCCGCCCTCTTCTCACTGGCCGTTGTTGTTGTTACACGCCCCATTGTTGTTGTTGATGTTGTTGTTGTTGTTGTGGGCGGGGCTGGCCCCCTCTGCGCCAGGCGCTTGGACGTTGTCGGCCAGGTTGTGGGCGTGTTCCAGGAAGAGGTCCTTGAGGACAGACAGCTCCTTGCTGAGCAGCTTGATTTTAGCTTCCAGTCTTTCGTTCTCCTCCTTCAGCTCATTGACGCGTTGCTGCGTGTCCTGGGCCTTCTGCTTAGACCTCATCCTGCTCTTCTTAACCGCCAGGTTGTTCCGCTCCCGCCGCTGACGGTACTCGTCGCTGTCCTTGTCCCCTGACGTCTTCTTCATCTTGCTGGGCGGGGTGGCCTTGCCTCCTCCTCCTCTCCGGCTGGGGTCACAGGGACTAACTGGGGCTGGGGAACCTGCTGTAAGCCTCCTCCCGGTGGGTCTGAGAGCGTGGTTGTAGCTGCTGCTGGTACGCTAGCTTGGTCCTGGATCACACGAACGCTCCCCCTGTTCTGGTGTGTGGTTATCTTCTGCTGTGTCTGCCTGCTCATTTGGTTTGGATCCGCTGACCACTAGTCTCACTGCGCGTCCGCCTTTGACTGGCCTTGTTGGTACACATCGGACGAAGGTTGGTGTTGGATCACGGCTCTGTAGACTGGAGTTACTGGAGTCTGGAGGAGGGAAGGTCAGGATGAATATGTTAGTCTTTCACTTTCCAGAAGGTACGAAACACTTGTTGATAGGGATCACTTATTAAATAGGCTACACATAGTGACAGCTAAGAACATCGTGAGAGGAAACAAGGTAATGGCGGCAGGTAGCTTAGTGGGTAAGAGCATTGTGTCAGTAAACGAAAGGGCTGTTCTAACCCGAGTCCGACTAGGTGAAAAGTCTGTACGATGTGCCTTAGCAGGCACTTAACCTAAAAAATCGGCCTAGTAAGTGCTCTGGATAAGCGTGCCTAAATGGACCTCTAAATGTAAAAATGTCCCCATGCTATAACTGAGCTTTTTAGTCAGATCTACTTGAGTCAGGGAAACAGCAGGACTCAACCTCAGTCACAGTCATATAATTTACAGTAATCTTGATTTAACCAGAAATAAAAAAGTATTGTGTAATTGTTCTGCTGCTCGATTAAGATCTAAGGTCCATACGTGTTAAGAGAAGAGATGAAGAGGTGCTAGAACGTGGTGTGGAACCTCTCTATTTGCCGGTTTAAGTGCAAGTCTATGGGCCAAATGTCCCCTCCCCTTCAGAAATTGGAAAGATGCTAACACCTGCGAAATCGTGATTCGTCCAAATAACCAGTGAGGAAAAATCCAAGCACTGCTACTATTGATGGTCGTTTGCTATTGTCCCATTTATGTTTACATAGTCCGTCCAACAGAGATGACTTTTATTGTCAACACGTGATGGGACAATACACAAAAAAAAAATGTATGCACGCATGACTGTAAGTCGCTTTGGATAAAAGCGTCTGCTAAATGGCATATTATTATTATTATATTATTATGGGATTTATTACGAAAACAAGCTACATTGTTACAAAAAAAAACATATTTAGAATATGTAGATAAATAATATTGTGCATTTCATATTGAAATGAAAACGTATATGGAACTTTCAATGTAAACAGATCTGAGACCAAGGTGGTGGGTCTCTGGTTATGCCCCCCTCCCCCTCAACTTGTATTAACTCACCCACCAAACATTTAGCTATTAACACGACCATATGTTATTCTCCTTGAGGGAAAGGGGAAAATCCTAGCAAAGGTTAGTCTGCTAAGGTCACACAGGGAGTTGTAATGTACCTAGTCGACTGTGTTTGACCACATCTCTCTCCCTCAGTCAGTTCAGATGCCCGCTAGTTAACGTTAGTGTTGCCTGTGATTGCATCATCGCATACCCCCCCCCCATACATGGCAGATACTCTTTGTGCCACTGGAGAGGGGAACTCCGTAGTCAGGCAGTGGTAAGCAAAACGGCGGTTTTAGGAGAAAATTGTGCCGGCGAATTCACTAAACACTAACACACACACAACGTTTTGACGTGAGACTAACTAGTTAGCTAGCTAGAATGTTTGTGGAAATACACAAAAAAACTAGAGTGAGTGATTTTGGCAATGGCAGGAGGCGTGGAGCTTGGCTTGCTAACGTTAGTTTGTTTAGCTAGCTAGGCAACTGGCTAACACTAGCTAGCTGCATTTCCCACAACCGAAAAATAACATCGACTAACGTCAAAACCACACGTTGGACGCCCATCACTATATAATTGTAACATTGTTAACTAAACAGCGGTGTGATAAACCAAACAGAAGTGTTATTTTGAGCGTCGCCCGTGCCTGGACACAGTTGTTGTGTAACTTAGCACCAGCGACGTCCAGCTTGTGGATTCCGTTTAGCCTAGCTAGCTAGCTACCTTTTCCTCAGAAGACGACTTGAAAACATACCAAATCAACCACGTACCTTGTCTGCTTTTACGTATCGTCAATTGCCCAACAAAGTATAAAAAAGTTTGGGAGTATTGTCCGTTTTTCGTTGACCATATAAGTTAGCTGGAGCTGCTCGAAGTATTGCGAAATGTGTTTGACCATGTAGGGAGATCTACCAGCCGAGCCGATCCACCCTGGCGGTGAGGAAGGGTGACGCAATAAACTGCCTGACTGATAGGTGGAACAACCAATGGGAGAACGGTGCTGCACTTGGGGATAGTTATTTATGGAACATGAAAATATTGGCATTGAGTTCACACAACGAATGACTTCATTGCTAGTGACCCATTCAGGAGAGAGGCGCCAATTCCAACAGTTGACACGAGTTCTTTTAAATTAGTTAAATTATTTTTAAAATACTTCAATATACAAAATGGTATGTTTGGAAACATAGATGAAAGCTTCTTCAATACAAAGCTATTTCTCTCTCTCTCGCTCTCGCTCTCTCTCCTTCCTGTTCAGTACATTCCTGTGAACAAAAGACCATAAAAGTATATATTTTTAACAAACTTATCAAATAGAGGGAGTTATTAGTTTGGCTAATATGATTGGTCATAAATGGTAGACCCACATGGGACTATTTGTATTTGTATTTATTAGAGATCCCCATTAGTTCATGCCAAGGCAGCAGCTAATCTTCCTGGGGTTTATTATGGATCCCCATTAGTTCCTGCCAAGGCAGCAGCTACTCTTCCTGGGGTTTATTATGGATCCCCATTAGTTCCTGCCAAGGCAGCAGCTACTCTTCCTGGGGTTTATTATGGATCCCCATTAGTTCCTGCCAAGGCAGCAGCTAATCTTCCTGGGGTTTATTATGGATCCCCATTAGTTCCTGCCAAGGCAGCAGCTACTTTTCCTGGGGTTTATTATGGATCCCCATTAGTTCCTGCCAAGGCAGCAGCTACTCTTCCTGGGGTTTATTATGGATCCCCATTAGTTCCTGCCAAGGCAGCAGCTAATCTTCCTGGGGTTTATTATGGATCCCCATTAGTTCCTGCCAAGGCAGCAGCTAATCTTCCTGGGGTTTATTATGGATCCCCATTAGTTCCTGCCAAGGCAGCAGCTAATCTTCCTGGGGTTTATTATGGATCCCCATTAGTTCCTGCCAAGGCAGCAGCTACTCTTCCTGGGGTTTATTATGGATCCCCATTAGTTCCTCCCAAGGCAGCAGCTACTCTTCCTGGGGTTTATTATGGATCCCCATTAGTTCCTGCCAAGGCAGCAGCTACTCTTCCTGGGGTTTATTATGGATCCCCATTAGTTCCTGTCAAGGCAGCTGCTACTCTTCCTGGGGTTTATTATGGATCCCCATTAGTTCCTGCCAAGGCAGCTGCTACTCTTCCTGGGGTTTATTATGGATCCCCATTAGTTCCTGCCAAGGCAGCAGCTACTCTTCCTGGGGTTTATTATGGATCCCCATTAGTTCCTGCCAAGGCAGCAGCTACTCTTCCTGGGGTCCAAACACATTAAGGCACTTACATCACACACAAAACAAGAGATAAAACAGTGCATCATATAACATTATTACACCACTACATATCTACAATACAAAATGTATAATACCACCATACAATAATATCACAATGTATGTGTGTAGAGTGTGTGTGCTAGCGCTTGTGTGTGTGTGCGTGTGTCTGTACCTGTGTGTGTCTCTTCACAGTCCCCGCTGTTCCATAAGGTGTATTTTTACCAGTTTTTTAAAAATCTGTTTTTACTGCTTGCATCAGTTACCTGATGTGGAATAGAGTTCCATGAAGTCATGGCTCTATGTAGTACTGTGTGCCTCCCATAGTCTGTTCTGGACTTGGGGATTGTGAAGAGACCTCTGGTGGCATGTCTTGTGGGGTATGCATGGGTGTCCGAGCTGTGTGCTAGTAGTTTAAAACAGACAGCTCGGTACATTCAGCTTGTCAACACTTACAAAAACAAGTAGTGATGAAGTCAATCTCTCTTCCACTTTGAGCCATGAGAGATTTACATGAATGTCATTAATGTTTGCTCCCCGTGTACTTTTAAGGGCCAGCCGTGCTGCCCTGTTCTGAGCCAATTGTAATTTTCCTAAGTCCCTCTTTGTGGCACCTGACCACACGACTGAACAGTAGTCCAGGTGCGACAAAACTTGGGCCTGTAGGACCTGCTTTGTTGATAGTGTTGTTAAGAATGCAGAGTAGCGCTTTATTATGGACAGACTTCTCCCAATCTTAGCTACTGTTGTATCAATATGTTTTGACCATGACAGTTTACAATTCAGGGTTACTCCAAACAGTTTAGTCACCTCAACTTGCTCAGTTTCCACATTATTCATTACAAGATTTTGTTGAGGTTTAGGGTTTAGTGAATGATTTGTGCCAAATACAATGCTTTTAGTTTTGGAAATATTTAGGACTAAATTATTCCTTGCCACCCATTCTGAAACTAACTGCAGCTCTTTGTTAAGTGTTGCAGTCATTTCAGTCGCTGTAGTAGCTGACGTGTATAGTGTTGAGTCATCCGCATACGAAGACACACTGGCTTTACTCAAAGCCAGTGGCATGTCATTAGTAAAGATTGAAAAAAGTAAGGGGCCTAGACAGCTGCCCTGGGGAATTCCTGATTCTACCTGGATTATGTTGGAGAGGCTTCCATTAAAGAACACCCCCTGTGTTCTGTTAGACAGGTACAGTGGGGAAAAAAGTATTTAGTCAGCCACCAATTGTGCAAGTTCTCCCACTTAAAAAGATGAGAGAGGCCTGTAATTTTCATCATAGGTACACGTCAACTATGACAGACAAATTGAGGAAAAAAATCCAGAAAATCACATTGTAGGATTTTTTATAATTTTATTTGCAAATTATGGTGGAAAATAAGTATTTGGTCACCTACAAACAAGCAAGATTTCTGGCTCTCACAGACCTGTAACTTCTTCTTTTTGAGGCTCCTCTGTCCTCCACTCGCTACCTGTATTAATGGCACCTGTTTGAACTTGTTATCAGTATAAAAGACACCTGTCCACAACCTCAAACAGTCACACTCCAAACTCCACTATGGCCAAGACCAAAGAGCTGTCAAAGGACACCAGAAACAAAATTGTAGACCTGCACCAGGCTGGGAAGACTGAATCTGCAATAGGTAAGCAGCTTGGTTTGAAGAAATCAACTGTGGGAGCAATTATTTGGAAATGGAAGACATACAAGACCACT